GCCGGGGCAAAGTCTCGCTTAACCCTGTGTCGACGTTCAAGAAGTTGACGGGGCCCGACTTCTGGGAAGGCGTCAAGCCGAGCCGGGTCGCACCCGAGGCTCGCCCGCGGTGGATGACTTTCGACGACAAGTGGGTCGATGAGGTTGCGCGTGGCATCAAAGCGTGCTGGGTCTTCTTGTGGTACCCGATCTACTGTAAGGCGTTGCGTGTGATACTCGGGCAAGATTCTGACGGCTTTCAGGGCTGACCTACAACCAACTGAACAACAACCTCACATCGCAGGCTGGATCAATGGAGACGCATGGACTGCCGAACGACGTGTTGTCCAACTTGGACCCGTTGGCGCTGATCATCTTCATCCCCATCTGCGATCAGGTGGTGCGTTGTCTACTAGTTGCTCGCGGTGGACGATCACTCACGCACTGACAGATCTACCCTGCGCTGCACCGATGGGGCATCAACTTTACCGCTCTCAAGAAAATCACGGCTGGCTTCTTCACTGGGGCTGCAGCCATGGCATGGGCTGCCGCTGTGCAACACTACATCTACAAGGTCCGTACAGTGCTCCTTACTTGGCCTCGCTCCTGCTCACTGACATCTTCCTCAGCGCTCGCCATGTGGCTACAATGCCACCTCATGTGCTGATGCAGCTGGCAATGTCATCCCCGCACCGCTCAACGTGTGGATCCAGACCGGATCCTACGTGCTCGTCGCGTTCTCTGAGATTCTGGCGTCTATCACCGGGCTCGAGTACGCTTTCACCAAAGCACCCAAGAACATGCGCTCGCTTGTGATGTCCATCTTCCTGTTCACCTCAGCCATCTCGGCTGCGATCGGCGAAGCATTCGTCTCGCTCTCAACCGACCCGCTGCTCGTATGGAACTACGGCTCCATGGGTGTTATCGCCGCTGTGGCGGGCATTCTCTTCTGGCTGCACGTCCGGGGCCTCGACAAGCGCGAGGACGAGCTCAACCAGTTGGCGACGGGAACTCTTCAAGCCCCTACAGGATTTGTGTCGCAGCAGGGCCAAGTGGGCAAGGATGAGGCCCTTACGAAGCAAGCATAAAAAGATTTGTAATGAATTGTATGTAACGTACGACGCGTAATGACAGGAGACCGAATCCCCCACGAGACGAGAGGTTGCACACGGTTTCATAGAGTGAGGAGTCTCACCACATGCAAAGCTTGTCTGGGCACTGCCTGGCGCTTCCTTTTGGCAGAGGGGTTCCTATTTCTCCTAAAACATGTGTTCGGGTAGAGAATCTGTTGGCCTGCCGCCGCTCCAAAGTTTGATGGAGACGCTGGGATCCAAAATACTTAACACCCTTGATCTGAGGAAGGGCTCTTCTGACCAATGGCGCATGTGAGACACTCCGCACACATGCTTTGTTCACAAGGCCATGCTTGGCCATGTCCCTGTGATATTCCTTCCAATATTTATTTCGGGACCTGGGTAAACTTCCAGCCATGTCCGCCGTCAGTCAGCGGCAAGTTCACCGAACGCGGTGAATGGTGTACATTACATTCTATCACGAAATGCAGGGTAGATCTTGTGGGTCCTCGATGACATGCGTTATTCAACGTCACTTGCAGGCACGCGTCGAACTATTCCCTCGCTCGGTCTTCATTGGCATTCCTCCTCCCCATCTGATTACAGACTTAAAAGCTGTATGATAATGCAAGGTTATGTTGGCTTCACTCTCTGGTTGAACACTGCAACAAAAAAACACTCAGAATGGCCCATACCAACCCTGGTCGTCTCGAGTTTCAAAGCTGATGTTCTCATTCTCAAATCGTGCTCTTGCGACATATAAAATGCTCCCACGGTGGCTCGGGTATGTGAGGACCGATGCTGTTCATCTACAGGTAAACCGGGCTTCCTGTACTCCGACTCCCACCACGCAATTATTTCTCGCGAAGATTCGCCATCTGCGTGCTCGTGGAATGATCGATTTTCGAAAGGGTCTGGATCGAAGGAAAGTGCTTGGGTAGTTTTCATCAGCGCTTGGGTGGGTTTCATCCGCTACTTTTCGTCTTTGGATCAGTTTTCTTCAAAGATGCATCCAATGGAGGCACTTGTTAACTCGTAGGAATATGCGCAATCACCGAAGCGCTCTACGTGCGGGTCGTTGAGATTCAGTGCGGCGCAGCATACCGTCAGATATCAGACGATGGCCCACTCTGGCTGTGTTCTCTACCATTCCCCCTACATCATGGGCAGTAGAAACCCAGTGCACATGGGAAGGATAAATCAAGGATGCACAGGAGAAGAAACGCAAGACTCTGCAGTCATAATATTGACTGCTTTTTGTTAGAAGATACGTTTGCCACATCTGATCATCCCTGGTACCGCAAGGAGTCAGGACCAAGGCCCGGTCTCCCGTTTCCCCTCATCGATCGCCCGCAAGTGTTCTACATTCGATCTACGGTGTGTTTGAAAGATTTTGACTCATTCACTGGTATAAATTCTCGAAGATTGGTAGCGTAGCGTAGGGACCAGTCTGAACGATGACCGTGCAGATATTTGGTTTTCTCGAGTGTAGATCTAATCTCGATCTGATGATCAGTCTCAAGCTCCGGATCTCCCATCATCCTCTTCCCGAAAAGCCACCTTGACTCCTTGTCCTCCCCACCATGCCAGCTCCACCCGAATTCATCAAGTTCGTCGACAACAACTCGTCCGCTTTCATCGAGCGCCTGCGCGCGGCGGTCGCGATCCCCTCCGTATCTGGCGACCCGAGCTTCCGGCCGCGTGTTATCGAGATGTCCAACTGGCTGAACGGGCAGCTGCAGCAGTACGGTGTCACGACGAAGCAGGTCGATCTCGGGACCCACGTCATGGACGGCCAGACGCTTCCGCTTCCGCCTGCGATCCTCGGTCGGATCGGCGACGATAAGAGCAAGAAGACGGTGTTGCTGTATGGCCACTTTGACGTGCAGCCGGCAGCGAAGAGCGACGGATGGGACACGGATCCGTTCGTTTTGGTCGAGGAGAAGGATGGGAGACTCGTCGGGCGCGGCAGCACGGACGACAAGGGCCCGATCTTGGGATGGCTGAATGTCCTGCAGTGGCATCACGAGACCAAGACGCCGCTGCCCGTGAATCTGCTCTTTTGCTTTGAGGGCATGGAGGAGAACGGTAGTGAGGGTCTGGATGAGCTCGTCATTAAGGAGAAGGATGGCTGGTTTAAGGACGCTGACTGTGTTTGCATCGTAAGTGTGCGTTCTTGTAACGCTGGAACTTCTGTCGACCGCACTAGAGCGACAACTACTGGCTTAACACTCGGACCCCGGCACTCACGTACGGTCTGCGTGGGCTTGTTTACTTCAAGCTCAACGTCACTGGTCCTGGACGCGATCTGCACTCTGGTGCGTTCCCGCGCTTTATGCCCGACGTCCCTCCTGACAATGACTGCAGGTGTCTTCGGACGTACGGTTCACGAGCCGATGACCGACCTCATCTCGATCATGTCTAAGCTCGTCAGCCCCACCGGTGAAATCCTCATCCCTGGCGTCGACGACATGGTCAAGGCTGCCGATATGGAAGAGCGGTGCGTGGTGTTCAATAGTAAATGACTTGTTACTCACTTTGCCCAGGGCCATCTACGAGCAGCTCAACTACAGCATTGAGGATGTCGAGTCCGGTGCCGGGGGCAAGATCGCATTGTCCGACGACAAAGCCACCGTGCTTATGGGCCGAATGCGGCTCCCTTCGCTCTCGCTGCACGGTATCGAGGGCGCCTTCTACGGCCCAGGTGCCAAGACTGTCATCCCCGCCAAGGTCTCGGGCAAGTTCTCGATCCGGTGAGTTGTAGTTAGCAGTGGTGGGACCGCCGCTCAAGCGAACACAGACTCGTCCCTCCTCAGACGCCCGATTCCGTGGAGCCCCTCGTCAAGTCGTACATCCAGAGCGAATTCGACAAGCTCGGCAGCAAGAACACTCTGTCTGTCCTGCCCTCCTCATCTTCTTCCCATGCTGAACTCTTGTCAGGGAGATCGAGCTTCTGCACAGCGGCAAGCCCTGGGTGACGGACTACAAGCACTGGAACTTCGCCGCCGCTATCACCGCTACTGAGGTACCTCTCTGCTCTGAATACGATCGCACTTGATGACGCCGCGCACAGGAAATCTACAAAACAAAGCCAGATCTGACCCGAGAGGGAGGATCGATCCCTGTGACGCTGACGTTCGCCGAAGCGTTGGGCGCGAACGTGCTTCTGCTGCCGATGGGTCGCGGAGACGACGGAGCGCACTCCACTAATGAGAAACTTGACAAGAGCAACTTCATTGAGGGTGTACGTGCCTTTCCAGCTGGGTGCCTGATTCAGACGCTGATTTGGTCCGCAGACGAAACTGCTCGGAACGTATCTGTACGAAGTTGGTGCGATCAAGGCGGAGGGCAAGTGAATCGAATAGTCGCAAATGTACCTAGTATCACAATGTATCAAAGCAGACGAGATGCTCGACTCGTGTAGCTGCCCAACCAGTCCCCGTTGAAGTTCGTTGAGACTTTGGATTCTACGCTCAAGCCCATACTGGTGAATCCGGCCGCTGTGTCATGTGTGTCTCTGGCTGAGTGTCTGAGAGCTTCACATTGTAAGCAGCATCTTTTACACGAATACACCTTAATGTGAGTTCCTATTCCTACCGCACATTCTTTGGAGATTATCCTCTATCCTTCTGAGTCTGTGATATTGGCGGGCAGCGTTCAGGACTTGTGTAGGATGCGTCGTTGATACGACTCCTTGCTCTGGCTAGACCGCTTGAGTTCCAGGATTTTTTAGTCTCTGCCAATCTGACCTCTCGATACGAGCTAAGCAAGATCAAGTTGAGTAGATGATAGTAGGACGAGTAATGCATCTATCTGCCACTCGAGGATAGCTGAGCACTGCCACATGTCATCATCCATATGACGCAGCCACGTTTTCTCTCTGTCTGTCGCTCACCCGGAGCCGGATGCCCCAGTCTCCTCGTTATACATCCCGGACGAGTGCATATCCCCCCAAAACTACCTACGCAAGTACTGCCATCTCCCAATTCCTGCCCCTTCTCGTGCTCTTTCTCGTGCCACTGGTCACCCTCCGCCTCGTCGTCCCTGCTGTCAAACGTATATCGGGCCTGGTTACTGTGAATGGGATGGGTCTGTTTGGCTTTGGGTTCTGGAGTGGAGGATCGAGTGCGGATGTGAGTGCGGATGACGACAATCAAACCGGATCCAGTCGAAGGCGAGAGAGGGTACGCACCAGGGCTGCACAACAGGAGCAGCAACGAGCAGGACACGAGAAACCGGATTCAGTGTCTTTTCCTGGACTCTTCAATGTGTCCGGGACGCATTGCTTCATGAACTCCACATTGCAGGTATGACGGGCACACTTGTCGGGCAGACCACGCTCACAACGCGTATAGGCTCTGGCTTCCCTATCCGCTCTCATGCCACACCTCTCCGCGCTTCACAATCGCGCTGAACAGTGGGACGTCCCTACACCCGTGCTCGACGCGCTACTGGATCTCCTTCACTCGCTGAATACACCATCGAGATCCGCCCTGCGCGCCACGGCACTCGTTGAGGCACTCTGCGCGTCACCCGATTCCTCCTCCGCCTTCTGGGGCATCTCCACCTCGAGCTCAAAGACAGATAAAAGCGCGAAAGCGGCCGCATTGCTGGCCACACACCAGCATCAGGACGCGCAGGAGTTCTTCCAGCTGCTGTCCGAGGCGATCAGAGAAGAAACGGCGTTGGTTGCTGCTGACAGTGCTCGAGATCGCGGCTTCGCTGGGCTTTCGGAATCTGAGGCTGGCATGGCAGCTGCCGTCAGCCCGTTCGATGGATTGACGGCAACCCGACGCGCCTGTGTGCGCTGTGGGTACGTATCGGCGATCCGGCATTTCTCGTTCGACAGCCTGCAGCTGGCTCTGGAGGGATGGAACGGGGTGGGTTTCTCGTATATCGTTGAATCATATCCCTTCTCACGCCACGGCAGACAACTATTCACCATCTGCTTACGACTTACACGGAGCTTGAGGTGCTAGAAGATTGTCCTTGCCGCCGGTGTTCTCTGCGCGCCACAGCATACCGGCTGACGGCTGAGGCGGCGCAGTTGGCGGAGGGTGTCGATGAGAAGAAGGCTGTCGATGGCGTATACGACGGCGAAAAGGAAAGGAAAACCAAGAGCAAGAAGCGGAGGGAGAAGGAGAAAGCCAAGGCTACGAGGGCTGCTACACCTTTTTCTGAGCTGGCCGCGGTCACGGCCCCTCTCTTATCTGATAGTGCCCGTCTCCGTCGTCTAAAAGCGACTCGCAGGCAATCATCTTTGGTGGGTCGGGCACTCGAGTCTCGGCGGATTGAAGAGGAAGACCTTGAAGGCGACTGGGATGCTGATGGCTTGTTCCGACCGGATCCAGGCTCTGACGCGCTGAAGGGCGTGCGGCTAGACAGAGTTCCTGGAGGCGTTTGTACAAGGCAGAGTATGATTGGCCGTGTGCGTGCATTCGAGATAGTCTGTTCAGCCACTTACTTGCTTTGTGTAGCTTCCGGCGGTCCTGGCACTGCACATCAATCGGTCTGTGCACACCGGATACCGAGCAGCGAAGAATGGGGCCTTTGTCGCTTTCCCCGAGGTCCTCGATTTGACGGCATATACGACATCTGGAGTGCTCAACGTCGAGCCGACGACGGGCATGAGCGACCGAGGGATCCTCGGCGCTCTCCGGCAGCACAATCCTGCGGTCTACCATCTTGCGGCTGCCGTCTGCCATTACGGGCAACACTCCTTTGGCCATTACATTTGTTTCCGCCGAGCTCCTGTGCCATCGCAGTCAGGCTCTTCGCCGTCATATTCACCTGCCCTGCCCACAGTCGAAACTACCTCCGGTTCCGGACGGGGCTGGCTCAGAATCTCCGATGCTCGCGTTGATCGGTGCGGCATCGAGTCAGTCTTGGCGGAGGGAAGCTCGGTCTTCATGCTTTATTACGAGCGGGTGCATGATCATACGGTGGACACCATTCCGAGAGGCCGGATCTTGAGGAGTGCTAGTCTCGGTCTTGGGGAAAGTTCTCTCCAGGTCAAGTCCGAGGAACACCCAGTCAAGTTGGAGGCGGAATCATCTTCCCTAGGCCAGCCATCATCAACCAGCCCTGGGGAACCCGAGGATATGCCAACCGTCGTCGACGTCGAGCCGGAACAGGTCACAGCTCCACCCGTTGATGATTCTCCGTCGGACTGCTTCGTGCCTGTTTCCAGCCCTGCCGCCGAGGAATCTCAAGTCGCATCGCTCAGCCCGCCTGTGGTGGACACCTCACCTCCGCCGGACGATAACATGCTGCTCTCAGCTGGTGCATTGCCGACACCCCCGCTCACTCCGCGATCCATCGCTGATTCGCCACTACCGCCAACCGAGGATGCTCCTATAGTCAAACTCAAGCCCAAGAAGAAGAAGAAGAAAGGGAAGGCGTAGACGGTCGGGTGTTCCGTGTCCAAAAGTATTATCGGTCCCCTGCTATTGTATGCCATAACGGAACATCGTCCTCGCCCTATTCGCTACATATCTACTACTGTATCATTATTGTCTTCTCTTCTATGGCTCAGGCGGGAATCATCAGGTTTTTTTGCATTGCGTGACGTATTGTACAAGAGTGTGAGTGAAATGAAATGAGACGATGTGTATGTGGGAAGGGAGCGGGTGGAGAGGGTCCAGAAGAAACTAGAAGAAACTAGCAAGTGTCCCAGCCCGCAGGAGAAAATGTGAAAGCAACAACAACAGTAGCGTCCCTCCCAATCCACTCCCGATCCAACAGAGTTGTTCACACCTCGAGAGGCGGCCCGACTTTTTCGTGCGCCGCAGTGGGACGGCGGGATGCGGCCTAGTAGTATATGCGGCGCTCGACCGTGCGCTGCTTCGGCACGAGATAAGACGGGCGGTGGTACGAGACCACGCGGCGGACGCGCGTGACGTGGGGGTACCTGACGTAGGTGGGGCGGCAGGTCAGCAGCAGCAGCAGCAGCGGCAGCCATCGCGCGGTGCGCGTGGGGAGGACGGACCATGCGTTGTACACATCCCCGCCGTCCATCTGGACTTCCACGATCTCGCGGCCCTAATCAAGATTCAAGAGCGTGTGAGTGAGATAGCCGGGGCGGAGGGCGTAGGGCTGGGGGCTGGGGGCTGGGGGCTGGGGGCACGCACGAGGTAGTCGACATGCGATCCGACCACGAGGCCTTCACGTCTGTTGGCCCCGTGTGTAATGGCCACGACGTCGCCGGGCTGCGGGGCGCAGTCAGCAACGAGTTATGGATCGGTGGGGCGCAGGGGACCCACGATGATTTCCTCCCTCGCTTCCTCGAGGTGGGCGGGGCTGTAGGTCGTCACGGACTGCGAAGACATGGCTGGGGGAGGTGCTGTAGAGGAGGATGGGGTTGGGGGGGTGAGAGCAAGGCGGACGATGACGTTTATCACGGTCGCCTATTGTCCCAGCTTTTATACTTCTTCCTTCCCGACCCGGATGTCATCGCTTCGACATTCCAGAAATCAGGCCTGCTGCATCGTGCGTGCCTCGAGGCGGCGGGCCTTGTCCCGAAAAGGCAGCTCCACGTGGTTGTGGAATGGCTGCGGTGAGGTTGAGGGGCGCTGAGCGGGCGAATAGGGCGAGGCCGGCACGTTTTCCCTCCTGCGATACTCCGGTGCTTGAGAAACTCAGATAATCAATTTCTTGCGCAAGGGGGAACATCGATTGCTGATGTCTGCTTCCGCGCATGATCGAACCCGCGTCCGCCCGGAATCTGATGGCTGGACAGCGATGACATGCCCCATCACAAATACTCTGATACAGTCCCCCTACCATGCATCCTTCTAGCCGTCTTGGCTCTGGATGCGTGGTACAGACTCGGCTGAAACTATTATGCAGGGTGAATGCGAGCCTCGGATCCATTGTCTACAGGCGTCTCTCTTTTTAACTCCGCTTTGAACAGCGCAGAAACAGCCGTCCACAGCTGCAAAGTCATCTAAACATCGAGTCGAACAATGTGGAGTCTAAACTTTTAGCAGTGAGAGCGACAAATCGTTAATGCCGCAAAACAGATGGTACTCCTCGATGTGATGGATTCGGGCTTAGATTTGCCCTCAGATTGGTTAGTGTAATCGTGCTGAGGATGCGGCCGCAGACAGCAATGGTTTGTGACAGTGAAAGTCCCAACTTCAGCTAGATGCTCACTCATGAGGATTGGTATATCGAGGAAAATTGGAGATTACTTTCGTACTCTCATCTTGAAATTCAAACTATGCCAGTTGAACTGACGTTTGCGGGTTTGTTTCAACCTAAAGTGATTTCATCAAGGGATCAGTTGATGCACCATCCCGCCATCACCGTGCATACAAACATCCTTTTCTGCCTCAACTCCGACTATTGAGGCCAAGACTTTCGATGGCGCGTTCAAAATAACCAGCTTTGATATTACTCGGTGACTGGGATTGGTATTGCCGCTGGTGTCGATGCGATCATCTGTTGTGAGTCTGGAGCGCAGCTGGGGGGGCAGCCAGCGAGCCATTCGATACTGCCAGTCACCACCATCTGTTTCGATGCCGTGAGCAGTGGCATTCCCTGAGCGCCAGCCCTGACTCTTAGGGCCAATTTATCAGCTCTCATCGTGCAATGACGGCATAGCCTCATGGCCACTTCTCCCGCGGGCTGGCAGTGGTGATCATACACCTGGCACACTATAAAGCAGCGCCTCGCCCCCACCGGTTCGCACCACCAAACGACATGTCGCACTACGCGCTGCAAGATGTGCTCCCTGCGACAAACTACCTCGTGCACGACCTCGCGCTGGACGGGCTGAACGCGTCGGTCGACGGCCGGCTGCACTCTGCGCGCCCGTTCGCGTGGTCGTGCTTCAACGGCGGCGCAGACTGCCCCGTCGTCCAGGTACGCACGGAGACAGCCCATCCGTCTGCCATTCTGGCCAATGACTGTTGCTTTCATCAGGCGCAGTACACGAACGAGACGTTCCGCGCCGCGGCGTTCGCCGGGTACATCAACACCCAGTGGGAGACGTGCCAGGCGACCGGCGCGCAGTGTCTGCTCGACTTCGCCAACGCGACGAGCCTCGAGCCCGCGCTCGGCGGCGCGCAGAGCTGTGGCCAGGGCAGTGTGTCGGAGTTCTACGTGCGTGCGCGGCGTTCTGGTGTCTCGCTGGGCAGCACATATCAGACATGCGACGCAGATTGACGTCGCGACGTGGATGGATGTGGCCCATGCGTTTGGCTTCTCGCGACAGATGGGGATGCCGCTGGCCGTGAAGAACACCGGGGTTCGTTTGATTTGGTGCTAGCATGGCTGTAGTGTGGCGAGCTGAGTGCCCGGTCCACAGCACGACTACAACGGACGCAGCAGCGCACCCGGCTCGCTCGCTATCTGGGTAAAGTCTACTGTCCTCGCGACGCCATCTTTTTCTGATCCTCGCCGCAGATGCATCACCTCAAGAACGTGCGCCGTTGACCTGAACTGCCCCTCCCGTCTCAATCTGATCCCGCGGCACCAGATCACGTATGAGCCTAATTTCGTCCCCCAAGGCTGTCCGTCGACGCAGGCGTCCCAGATGGGCGTAACACTTGGGGTGCGTCGGGCGCTGATTGCGAACGGGTGTTTCTGAACTGCTGATCACAGGCCGGTGTGCAATGGGCCGAGGCGTACGCCTTTGCCGATGCCCATAACATCACGCTCGTAGGCGGATCCGACCGCTCCGTTGGGGTGGTCGGGGGCTGGACGCAGGGCGGAGGACACAGCGTGCTGAGCAACACGATGGGTCTCGGCGCTGACCGTGTAGTGAGTGGGAACGAATCCGTTGCGCTCTCCACTCAGTGCCACTGCAGCTCGAATACCAAGTCGTCACGCCCGATGGCCGCCTTAGGACCGTGAATCAATGCCAACATGAGGATCTGTTCTTTGCGCTCCGCGGCGGTAAGCCAAATCAGTCAACCCTCTCACCTTATCAAGCTGAATCTCGAAGGCGGCGGGGGAACGTTCGCTGTCGTGATGTCTGCCACCATCCTCGCATCCCCGCCCGTGACGCTTCAGACCCTGATACTGACCTGGCCGGAAAGCGATCGGACCCTGACGCGCGAAATCTGGGCTCTCATGGTCGATAATGCGCTGCACTTGGCGTCCGATGGATGGGGCGGCTTCGCGACTGCAAACACCGTGATCCTAGTCAACCCCGCGCTCGACGCAGCCGCGGCGACTCGCTCCCTGGCGCCGCTGATCCACTTCGAGCGCACGGGCACGCAGCGCACGGTCACGGCGTTCCCGACGTTCTACTCGTTCTTCGAGTCGTTCACCACCGCCCACGTCGCGGTGAGTCGTGTTCCATAACACCCTGCTGTTGGTGACCCAAGCCGAGGCTGACGCGCCACCGCCACACCAGATCGTCGGGCAGCAGCTCGCCCTCGCATCCCGCCTCGTCCCCACATCCGCCTTCGCGAGCGCCGCGTCCCGCTCCGCGCTGCTCGCCGCGCTCGTCGCGACGGACGACGCGGCCCCCGGCACGATCGTCCTCCTCGCGCCGCCGTTCAACGTCCCCGGATCCGGCACGAGCGCCACGCCGCTCTGGCGCGACAGCGTCTACCACGTGACCGCCGTCGCGGGCTGGGCGTGGAATGCGACGCGCGAGGAGAAGCGCGCGGCGTATGACCGCGTCCGGCCGCGCGATGGACCGTATCCGCGCTGTCACGCCCGGTGGCGGGGCGTATCTGAACGAGGCGGATGTCTACGAGCCCGACCACGAAGTGCGTTCGCGATAGTTTGGATGTGCGCTGGTGAGTGAATTGGCCGGTTGATGGTTTGGTTCGTAGTCTCGTTCTGGGGCGGGCATTATCCCGAGCTCCTGAGGATCAGGAGAAATAGTGCGTGGCGTTTGTGGTAAATGTATTGCGTTCGGGTCGCTGACACGCTGACAGTGATCCTGACCGCCTTCTGGATTGCTGGCACTGCGTGGGCTCGGATCCCGAGTCCGACAGGTTTTTCGTGTTATCTTTAGATTTCTCAGAGAATTT